CCCAAAACCTTCCCTCTCCACTTTCGCCGATTCCTGAAATGGTGGGGTTGTGGACAACCAAAATGAAGTTTTTCCACATTCGCCAACTCTATAAATGGCAGGCTCGTGGACACCCAAAAACCTTTCCTACATTTGTCCAGTGATATGCACAAGACAGGGCAATTGGGCACCTTAACTCCTAGAGCGGGTACCAAATACAACGCACAACCCATTTCCAAAACCCCGACTCAACTACCTAGACTCATATGCTATTCACTGCCCTTTCTAATACTTTCCAATCATCCACAAAATTTTAGGATCACAAGAGAAATTATGATGCACATGATGCATGAGTTTTCAAATAAATTTTCCCTAAGATTTGTTCAATCAACAACAACATTAATAATATCAACAACGAAAAGATTTCTCCAATCTCAACATTTATCAATCTTAATACATATACTCGAAGAGCTTCAAAAATATCATATCTTAACACCATTTCCATAATCCTTCACCCAATTTCAAGATTTAAGAGTCAATTTGGCCAAACCCATTATTAAATAAAATTTGAAGACTAGGGTGTTTGGAAAAAAAATTGAGGCTTTCCCTCCTTTACACATAAAGAGTCAATATTCACCATTTCTAACAATAATCAAGGATATGCATAAACTTTTCCAAAATATGGAGGAAAACCACTTTTCAATCAACAATCCCACTTTATATCACCAAATCATCTCATACATTATTATAACTAAGAACATATCACATATATATCTCAAATCATAAATATATCAAGTTAAAAGTACCCCTACCTCAAGAATGAAGACAAGAAGATGCAAACCCAAAGAAGCACCTCGAAGAAATCGCAATCTAATCAGTCAAAATGTTGATCTTCTCTTGTTATTCACCTTTAATATAAGATCTATGGTCGATTCTTGGTGAAAAATGGATGAAATCAAGATTTGGAGGTCTAGGGTTTCAGGTATGGAGGAAAGGGAGAGAAGAAAGGAAAAAAGAATGAAGAGTTTAGGCCAAAAAGTGACTTTAAAGTGCCAGATTTCGAACTGACCACTCGAGCAGTCAAAACTTGGCTCGAGCAAAGAAAGAAAGCTCCCAGAATCTTTGAAATTCGCAAAAACCGCTTGAGTAATCAAAAGTTTGCTCGCGTGGACTTGCTTCTAACACAGTTTCTCAAATTTCAAATGGGCAAAACTCCTTCATCCGGACTCCATTTTGGGTCATTCTTGTGTCTAAATCGAAGCCCCGGAAACGAGATTTCCAATGGTTCTAGCCTTACATCCAGATTCAAAGTGTGAAAAGAAAAAAAGGCAAAAGATTAATTATCCGAATCAATGTTTTTGGCTTAATCATACTTTACCATTATGATACCACCTCAATCAATATTCCAAAATGAACCAAAGAGGCCCCAAGTACAATAATAAGAGTGTCAAGAGCTATCATACTAGTCCAAGGAATACGAAGTGTTACACAACTTGGCATCGATACTTTCCTGTTTTGCCATAATGCCATTTTTGAAAGCATTATACAAGGTTTCTTTGTAACTGCAGCTACAATAAGATTTGGAAGTTGATATTCTACCTTGCATTTTTAGCACAAAAATTGATTCTTCCATCAATGAATGGCAAATGTAGGCATAGAATTTAGACGAATACAAACAATGAGCAATGGCTTCCTAATTTGGCACCAAGCTAGTAAATGGTAAATGACAATGACTTCAATTTATATATATATATATATATAATATCTAACAATCTAGTAGAATAAATGTATCCAAAGGGAAAGTCTCTCATTTCAAACATTTTTACCATGTCATGTTTTGGAGTTTGCCAAAAGAATTCTGGAGGGACAAAGCAACCAGGGATTTCTCTTCAGTGTTTAAGATGTTGGTCTTTGGTCAACCCCATTATCTGGAAAAGAAAACCATTTTTATGAAGAGACCATTTATTACTATTAAATGAATTTCCCCTTTTGATTTCTTCTTGTTCTTTGTCATGTCGCCCACTCCCCAACAAGTTTAAACAGATCAACATGTAATTTTGAAGAAGAAAAAAAAAAACTCTATAAGAATATATTAAACAAAAAGTGTGTTGTAGGCCAAACTAGGTGGCTTCATAATTATCAAATGTTGTCTAGCATACAAGGAGAGAGGTTTAAAAACACAACGTGATATTATACAAAGTTTTGCTTCTTGCAAAGGCGTGGAGGTCTAAATTATCAAAAGTCTTGCCTAAATGCGTGTCTTAGGGAAGATTTTCAATTGTGGTCTGTGGAAAGAAATTCGTTGTCAATTTGCTTGATATATCTCTTATTCCTTTATCATATACGAGATTTTTCACTATGACTGGATAAAAGTAAATCAATATATTTAATAAAAAACCTCATGACATTTCTATAATTCGTAAAATAACAACTCATTCCATTTAAAGTTGTAGTTTTCTACAAAGACAGGAAGCCTTAATTTAAATCAAAACATCCAAAGTACCTTGAGAAGAGCACAAAATCTTGCAATGTAGTGTAGACAATGATTATGAATACATCCAAAAGTTTGTTTCCACAACAATAAAGCCCTTTAGAACAAAAAGGTAATAACAAAAATAGTTAGTTGATTTCGCTATTTAAACTGTCCACATATCCTTTCTATTATTTTCTTCACAAAACACTTAGAAAATACATAAAAATATATTTTACAATTGGAAACTGTTAGAACAATCTTCTGTGTATAATAAGAAAAACAGAAACAAGTCAAACAAATAAAATAAATTTTCTTACAGAATTTATTTACCGAAAACATATTTAACAAAGTTGATGATCAAGTCGAGTGTATGACACTCTGTCTTTAAGATAGATTCGCCACCGTACAAGTGCTTACGGTATGATGGCATCTATCTCTCAAGATACAATGATCTTTGCGATATTGAAGCAGCACTACACTCAATTCTGCACAGCGAATCAGAACCTATGTTCTGTAACTCTCTTAATTCTCTCAAAAACTAATATGAAGAATAATGCAAGAGAGGACAAAAAAACAGGATGGAATTGAATTAATAAATTCTGGAAATGGGTTGCCTTTATATAGGCTGTTAGGAACCTGTTCGGAAAGGTCCAAACTAGTGCAACAATGGCAAAGGGTTGCCATTGAAAACTTTTCGTTTGAATCTGAACAGACACACCTGTTCAGGAAGAAGAAGAAATAAAACTGGAGGGAATTTGAAAAAAATAATTAAAAAAATTCCTTGCAAAAAATATATACACAAATATCTTTTGACCCAACGCACAACCTTGACCCAACCCAGATCTGAGCCAGTGGGTATGGTGGTCACCAGTAGGGTTAGCTTTGTCTAGGTCCTCCCCCTCTACAAAACTTGGGTGCCCTTAGTGCCCAAGCCTTTCTAGGAACTTAGATTATGTAAATCCTTTCATCTTCCTTCTTGTTTCCTATGTGGGACAAGGGAATAACAACAAACGTAGAAACCCACCAACATGAGTCATTTCCAATGGCTCACTTTGGCGTCGATTTCTCATTCACCCGTAAATGGTTTTCACCAACCAAATACATAATATTTATCTTCACATAGCAATGAACAACTTTGCCTTTGGATCGACCAAAAATAATAAGTGGGTTCCACTTAATTTTGGCTCCAAATTTAGCAAAACCTCATGGCTATAAACCATTTTCCCAACAGAAAGATCTTTTTTTTTTAACAAGAGTCGCCACCTTGAGCTATGTATTGTTATAACCTTGTAAGTAATCAGCCACATACCAAGCAAAAAACCCAATCATTGTGATTGTTCCAAATACTCCAGCAAATAAAAAAAGAATAATCTCAAAGGTGATACATCCATCTTTTGGCTAAACTCCTAGATCAAGAATAGAAAATTTTAAGCAGCGCATGGTTAGAACAGAGTAAAGAGGGCTTAATGACCAAACTTCTGCAGCAAAAGGGAAATAACAGTCATTGAATTGAATTAATTTGCACCTCCTCAACTTTGATTGAACATGAAGGATATTCGAACATGTTTTCCATGCAAAGATTTTCACTTTATGCAGAAATTTCAGCAACCAAATCTTTTTTGAAAATGCCCTTTCAAAACTCCCAGCATCTGACCTGACTTGTGTTTTTCTGCTTCACAAAACCATCTCCAAATGATATGCCAACTAAACAGAAAAAAAGGCCATTTTTAGTAAAGCACCAAACCAGTATATCATAAGCAAGCCTTGGGCAAAGTGGGATTTTACATATCAACTCAACTTCAAAATCCAAACAAAAAAAGCACTATTTGATGAAAACTTCATAAATGAGAGAGCAAACCTTAGCATCAGCATGCAAGAATTTTGTAACAGAAATAGGTTTGTAAGAGTAAGGCCTTGGAATCCATATATCTTTCCAAATCTTCATAGACCTTCCATTCCCAATATGCCAGTGCAGCGCAGCCTCCAAAAAATACTTTGCACTCCAAATACTCCTCTAAACAATGTCAATGGTTTACTCCTCAAGCTAGCTTTAGAAAATTTGAATTTGGATAGTAAGCAACCGCCAACCTTGCTTAGCTGAAAGAGCTTTATTAAAATCCCATCTTACCAAGCTAAATAGCCAAAAAGCAACTATGTACAATTTCTCTCTTCTTTGCCTCTTTCTTTCCTTTTCCGTGCTTTCTATTGCCTTTGCTAAATTTGGAGCCAAAATTAAGTGGAACCCACTTATTATTTTTGGTCGATCCAAAGGCAAAGTTGTTCATTGCTATGTGAAGATAAATATTATGTATTTGGTTGGTGAAAACCATTTACGGGTGAATGAGAAATCGACGCCAAAGTGAGCCATTGGAAATGACTCATGTTGGTGGGTTTCTACGTTTGTTGTTATTCCCTTGTCCCACATAGGAAACAAGAAGGAAGATGAAAGGATTTACATAATCTAAGTTCCTAGAAAGGCTTGGGCACTAAGGGCACCCAAGTTTTGTAGAGGGGGAGGACCTAGACAAAGCTAACCCTACTGGTGACCACCATACCCACTGGCTCAGATCTGGGTTGGGTCAAGGTTGTGCGTTGGGTCAAAAGATATTTGTGTATATATTTTTTGCAAGGAATTTTTTTAATTATTTTTTTCAAATTCCCTCCAGTTTTATTTCTTCTTCTTCCTGAACAGGTGTGTCTGTTCAGATTCAAACGAAAAGTTTTCAATGGCAACCCTTTGCCATTGTTGCACTAGTTTGGACCTTTCCGAACAGGTTCCTAACAGCCTATATAAAGGCAACCCATTTCCAGAATTTATTAATTCAATTCCATCCTATTTTTTTGTCCTCTCTTGCATTATTCTTCATATTAGTTTTTGAGAGAATTAAGAGAGTTACAGAACATAGGTTCTGATTCGCTGTGCAGAATTGAGTGTAGTGCTGCTTCAATATTGCAAAGATCATTGTATCTTGAGAGATAGATGCCATCATACCGTAAGCACTTGTACGGTGGCGAATCTATCTTAAAGACAGAGTGTCATACACTCGACTTGATCATCAACTTTGTTAAATATGTTTTCGGTAAATAAATTCTGTAAGAAAATTTATTTTATTTGTTTGACTTGTTTCTGTTTTTCTTATTATACACAGAAGATTGTTCTAACAGTTTCCAATTGTAAAATATATTTTTATGTATTTTCTAAGTGTTTTGTGAAGAAAATAATAGAAAGGATATGTGGACAGTTTAAATAGCGAAATCAACTAACTATTTTTGTTATTACCTTTTTGTTCTAAAGGGCTTTATTGTTGTGGAAACAAACAGCAAGGTTGGCGGTTGCTTACTATCCAAATTCAAATTTTCTAAAGCTAGCTTGAGGAGTAAACCATTGACATTGTTTAGAGGAGTATTTGGAGTGCAAAGTATTTTTTGGAGGCTGCGCTGCACTGGCATATTGGGAATGGAAGGTCTATGAAGATTTGGAAAGATATATGGATTCCAAGGCCTTACTCTTACAAACCTATTTCTGTTACAAAATTCTTGCATGTTGATGCTAAGGTTTGCTCTCTCATTTATGAAGTTTTCATCAAAACCAAATAAATTTTCAAATTTTGAAAACTCTTTTCAGTCTTGTGTTTCAAAATTACTTTCAAAACTAAACCAAACACAGCCTATGTGGGCAGTTTAAATAGTGAATCCCACTAACTATTGTTGTTTTCAGCCTTTTGCTCTCCAGGGCTTTGTTGTTGTGGAAACAAACTAGGATGTATTCATACTTACTGTCTAAGCTGCATTGCGAGATCTTGTGCCTCTTTTCAAGGTATGCCAGAATTACACTTGATAAAAGACTTTGGCTACTCTGATTTAACTCAATGCTTCTTGGCTTTGGGGAGAGCTACAATTTTGAATGCAATGGGTCGCTATTTTTTGAGTTTTAGAATTATCATGGGTTTTTTTTTTTAAATTTCTTTTCAGAATATATTCATATACTATTGTCTAGTCATGGCGAAAGCTCTCATAAGTAATAAACGAGCAAGAGATATATGAAGAAAATTGAGAATAAAGTCCTTTCCTGAGACAGCAATTGTAAACGCCTCCCTATTGCACATTGTCATGCAAGACTTTCGATCATTAAGACTTCCATGCCTTGCAAGAAGGGATTTTTTTTTTTTTTAATATCAAGTTGTATTCTTAAACCATCCTGCTTGCATGCTGGATTACATTTGACAGTTACAAAGCCACACATAATCTTGTCAAAATCCATGTGCGCAATCTGTTCTAGTAGTTGGAGGGATTTAGGCTTCCTTTATTAAAGGGGAGTTGAGAAGCCATCTACCCTACTTGGAGTATTATTTAGAATTCAAATCCAAGGCAAATATTCAAAAAAATATAGGAAACTATTAGAAATTGGCATACTGTATAGAGTTTTTGTGTTTGTTTGTTTAAATTTACATGTTGATTTGTTTAGACTTGTCATGAAGTGGGTGATATGGAAAACAATAAGAAGAAAACATAAGGGGAAGTTCATCTAATAGTAACAAATAGTTCTCTAATCTTTGATAAAATCGGGTTCTTTTCCGGATGGGGTTGACCAAAGACTAAAGTATCTTAGCAGACACTAGCGAGAAATCCTCGCTACTTTGCCACTTCAAAAATCTTCCGGCAAACTCCAAAACATGAAATATTAAAAAATGTTTGGAATGAGAGTCTTAGCTTTAGATATATTTATTCTACTAGATCATAGGCTATTTAAAAAATAGTCGATTACGCTGTTCAAGCTTGGTGCCACATTAGGAAGATATTGCTTATAGTTTGTATTTCCCTAAATGCTATTCATCAGCGAAGGGATAAGCTTGTCATTCATCAATGAAGGGATCAGTTTTGGCTTGAAAATGTAAGGTAGAATATCAGCTTCCAAATCTCATACTGTTTCTGAATTTACAAAAGAAAACTTGTATAATGCTTTCAAAAATGGTATTACGACAAAACATGCCAGTATCAATTTCTAGTTGTCTGTAATTTTTAATCTTATCTTTTGAAACCAAACTTTTTCTTAGCTACTCCAACAGGTAAAATAGGAAATGACTTCTTAAAAGGTCTCAGAAGATAACATGGGATGAAATAGCTTAATTCTAAAAAAAATGAAAGGACTTCCAAGTAATGATAGTTAATGAAATGATAAAATTTGGCCCTTTACTTGTGGTTTCCTCTAAAAGAGCTTGAGCTTGGTTGCAATTTCAATTTATTTTTTGTTAAGCAAATTTGCTTGCCTTCTAGGATATAATTGATTTTCACTACAATTGTGTTCATGTATATTACTTTGAACATCTTATCAACTTATGGATTTGTTTCCATATCTTGCAGTAAGTTTTTGAGGATGCTTGCAACTTTGCAGGAGAATATGGAGGTTTGTTATGGAAAGACTCAAGATAGATGGCAAAGAAGGCAGAAATACTAGTGCACATCTGAGAATTCCCACATGATCAAAGGCAATAGAAAGCACAGAAAAGGAAAGAAAGAAGCAAAGAAGAGAGAAATTGTACATAGTTGCTTTTTGGCTATTTAGCTTGGTAAGATGGGATTTTAATAAAGCTCTTT